AAATAAAATGTAACACTACCTAACCAATTAAAATATTTGATATATATAGAAGTTAATTCAAATTCACATTGTTCAAATATGCTAACTCTGCAGATTTGATATTATATGTATTATTACACCGTTGTCTGTGATAGGCTCGCAGTGCCACAAATTTTTTTTTCACTTGGATCGCTTATGGAAAATAACAATTTAGGAGGATGCTTACGGAATTATTTTTCTATATGATAAATAAATATATATATATATTGTATATTTCGATCAAGTACATTATATCAAAATAAATAAGATTAAAATACTTGTTAAAATAAAATGATGTCTACCATATTAATACCATATTGATTTATATAATTTACAACATTTAAGATTAAACTCAAACATTTTATTTAATCATACCTACCTAAATCAGATTAATTCGATAAACTTTGTGCTTATTTATTAACCAAGAATCGATTGTCCAAGAACTTTTTTCCACGAGGAAAAATTCTTTACGAAAATGAATGTATGGATTGAATAAAATAAAAATTTATTTGGTTTATTTGGTTCTACCTATGAATTGACAAAAAAAAAGAAGAAAAAAGTGAAAAAAAATCTTTCGGGCTTGGCCGGGATTTGAACCCGGGACCTCTCGCACCCTAAGCGAAAATCATACCCCTAGACCACCAAGCCACATGAATAACTGACCGTAAATAATGCATCCTTCAAATAATCACCCGACAACAAGTACATTAGGTACAAAGTTTGTACTACACAATGTTTGTAAGTTATTCAAGCACTATTAAACGTGTAATGATTTTTAATGAAATAATGAACATAGTTACTAAACACTTGTATATTAGTCTTTGAGCACTAATAATGACACTACGTCACTACACAATACTGGTATTCAAAAATTAATTACAGTTGGTATATGGAATGTTCACTAATTAAGACGTATTATAATATTAATATTTTTTCGTCAAAATATAATAAAAACATTTTTATTATTATGTCATCATTTTAAAAATATTTTGGGATATTTTGAGTTATTTACAAGCATTTTTTGTAATAGTCTTTTTCGTTTTATGTTATGGAATTTTTTTATCCATTTATCATTATCTTGCAAGACAAAAAAATTTTTAAAAAGATTCCTCATAATTTTTTTTACATCGTTCTAAAATCTAAATAAACCGAATAATATACATCGCAACAAATATGTTGTACGCATTTGGACATCTGATTCTTATAAAATTTGATAATATTAATATGTAGGTAAATAAAATTAATGAAATAAGGATACAATCAATTTATTTGAAACACTAAACATGACTAGGTACTACCACTGTCCACTACTACCTATATAAGGTAACCAAGAAACTGAAAAACATTGGCCCAAATATATGGGGGCTTGGGGGGACTTAGTCCCCCCATATTTTTTCCAAGTCCCCCGGTTCAAAAGTCATTAATTAGTACTGAGAGTATATCATTTTTAGAAAATATTATAGGAGGGGCTTTAGTCCCCCCAAAATAATTTGTCTATTTGCGCCTATGCTGAAAAATAATATAAAATATAAAATATTTATTTTGAAATAACAGATATTAGTAAAAATGAACTTACACATACGTCCACCACCTCAAAGACGACTAAAACGCGGTCGCCCGCACGATCTTATTCGATAATGCTATTAAATAACTAGTCACTACTGTAATTATCGCTCTTAATTGTAATTGTAAATACTTATATCATGTTAAAATTAGTCAAAAAAAAATTATGTTATTTATCCATAGATGTAGATAGCCTTATAGGCTAGGAATGTCTTATTATAAAATGAAAAAAAAAAAAAAGTAAAAATGACTGTGTTGATTTTTTAATTATTTACTGTGTCAACTGTCAGTAGGTAGTTGATGACACTGTTGAATTCGTTGGAATGAATAAAAGTATTCACACCATTCGAAATAGTGCAATACATATTACATATCACATTTTATGTATATAACTTATACTTAAAATTATGAAAATAGACGTCTTGTTTTTTCACCAACAGCCGGCTTATCTGGCTGATTTTTAATATAAAAACCTTGTGTATATATAGGTACGTGATATGTATGTTGTCGAAGTAGCAAAAGGATAGGATAACATGCTCTTTTCTTTTATGATGTCACATCAAGAATAAGTTCACACACACGCGAGCACACATGTATATATATGCACTTAATTCTTATAGCTTATAGCCCTATAGGTCAGAACCACTTTGATGTCGATACGTGATGACTACACACAGCGCTTTTGCTGTATAGAATGTTTGATTCTTTTTCTTTCACAAGTTTTAGGATTATCCCCGAAAACATAATCGAATACGGGATTTGGAAATAGTCGAAATTCAATTTCAAATACTTCCACCACAAATAGAAAACGTTGTTTTCAACATCTCGCCGTATAAATATATGTCGAATAAATTTCGACAATACGACGCGCACACACTATCTGGTGCGGTCTTATAAGTAGGCAAATAAAAACGAGGTTTGCAACAAAATCGCTTAACGAATTCAATGTTTTTGCGAGCGTATAATATTTCAGGTTAAAATGTCAATTAAATATATTTTGTTAAAATATAAATTTTCAAAAGTTGTATGATAATAATAACGAGTATAATAAATTGTAAAAATAATTTAAAAATTAACTCAAACTTACTAAAATAAAAATAATAAAAATAATCTGATCACAATTTTTAGTCATGATGTCTGGCTGCCTGGGAAACGAGTATAAAATGCAACCTAACCTAACCTACCTTGCAGTGTGGGGATGGAAAAAAAAACTATTTATTTCTCTTCAACCGTTGTCGTCGTCGTGCTAGCAAATCATTGTGTAAATATACTGTATAGTAATCGCTTTCGTTCAATTTGACTCGTGTGCGTACGTGCAGTATTTAAATCAATGCTCCAATAATATATATATATATATTGTATCGGTATTACATGGTAGGTACGAGTGCACTGTGCATGTCCAAACGCAAACCCCAATGAATGGGACAACACCACGCGCATAGTAATAATATATTACATCGCAATTACGTTATAATGGACGGCAAAAGTTAACAATAATTCTATAAATTATGGGTGTAGRCGTTTTAAAGTTGAAACTGATAATGTATAATATGCTGCAGCGCTATTGAATAATATACAGCAGGCACGTGGGGCTTGACTCGATCATTCCATTAAAGGGACAGATATTATCTAATATTATGACGTGTTATCCGATGTCACGAGGCGTATACCTACAACATCAATTATAAAAACGGAGAAAATGCCGGAAAACATTTTGTGGCCAGTTCTTAGAAGGCGGAGGACTGCAGCAGTTCCGGACACTGACGTTTTAAGGATGCCGTCCACAATAAATAATACCAAATATTCGTACAGTTGTAAATGACAGTGTTGAACTTAGATAATGTTTTATTTATCTATAGGTATAGAGACTTCCGAACTTATAGACAATAAAAAGTATTAAATAAAGATACCTATCTAGTCATTACTATGGATAGAATAAGATTTTTTTACGTGTTATAAAAAACAATTTGTAAACATATATTTTGCTTGCTTCGTGTTGAAGCTAAAATTATAATCTATGAGTAAGTGGGGGGGGGATAATATCACCTATATTGATTATCATTTTATTTTTTATTTTTTTAAATTGAACACACGAATTAATAAACTCTTTGTTATACTTAGGATGTGATATACACATACGACTTACATACCTATCAAAGAAACAGTTTTATAAAATATAGTGTTTTATTCAAAGAACTTAAGTGAGGTAATTGGTACGGACTACTGTTCGATTTGAAAACCACCAGAAAAACAATAATATTATTAAATTCAGACCAATGAAACACACACTTAAAAACAGAGAGACAAAAGTATAATAATCTCACTATATCTAATGGTAGTGCTCTGGTACTGACATTGCCATGGTATGCACGATACATATTGTTTTCCTACCCTTTACCCCGGAGACTAACATATTGTCTTGATTCGTTTTATCTCATTCGTTTAATTTTGCTTTAAGGTCCCTTTTGGTAAACCTGTTAAAGTATTAAATTTATATTATTGATGATTAATTTTAAATCATAAGCAATTGTAACAACCTCGTTTTTCATTATAATATTATAAAGTGCGTTTTTGTTTTCTAAACATAGGTATCATAATTTTATAAAGTTTTTGTTTCATTTATTGTAAATATATCGTTATGAATTATTTACATTTCAAAGCTTCGCATTAATATTATAATTATAATTTATAATACAATTTTAAAATAGCTAAAATGTTAATTAATGAAGTAATAACTTGAACTTAATATTGATATATTCACAGTATTTGGATGGCTCCTATTAATAGTTTGCTTAATATTACATGTTAGACCTAACACTATAATGATACATAAACATTTTTGTTTTTTTATTTTATCATTACTTCAATACCTTATTTTTTTATATATCAAATAAACATAAATTGATTAAAAGATAACTTTAACCTGTTTCTGAAATGAAAAAATCGAAGAATATTTTGTTATACTATCGAATTTAGTTTATCGAGATATCTGTGCATACAGTTTTTACAGAGCAAACAACGTATTATTTCCCAAGATGATTTCATCCCGTCACATGTCTCCGGTTTATATCAGATAGTATCTTGTTGACATATATACGCGGTATTTGTATTTCGTGCATTTTATTATAAAGACTGTCACAAATCGAAAAGCCTTAATACATTTTCTTTTTATATTATATCATATATTATTGTATCCAGAGAACTCGAGTAAATTGAATATATACGATACTGTTGTACCAATCCAATATATATATATATATTATATATACGACGTACAGTATTGCCTCATGTCGCATTATAAACTATTTATACGTCATATAATATGTTTATCGTATTTTCTATAAATCAATATAGTAAACGTAATAATAATAATAAGGATATGTCTATTAAAGTACGTAATACAAAATTAGTCCACTTGCCTGTTTACCGTCTCTGCCTTTCCACCGCGTCCACTTGTTGGAACCAGGTCTCCAATAGTCTATCATTATTTCCTCAGCGAACTCTCTGCCAGACCCGTTGCCGTGCCGACCTTGGCTTTTGATGGCTGTCACCGCGTGTAATCCTTGCAGGTTAACCTCCAAATACTGTCGACCATCGTTCGATATCATACCCTTCGGGCACCAAGCACCACCGCTGCCTTCATATTTCAGCCTGGAAATAGAAAATGATTTTTTAAAAATGATTACACAGTGAGTTGTACTAAATTTCAAGTTTCAATTTTTAACTGTAGGTAAACTTTTATAATTGGAATGCATAAAAAGTTATGATAATAAATTGTTATAATATTATTATAATAGATATCAGGCTAAAAAAATGATTGGTCGAATTTGCCTTAAATAATTCCTTAAAATCAAAATTATTTTCAAAGAAGACAAAAACTAGACTATATATTATACAGCAATAATAAGGCCGACGCTCACCTATGGCTGTGAAGCTTGGAATACTACCAGCATAACCGAAAGAAGACTTAGGACCTTTGAAAATATAATTTGGAGGACAATATGTGGACCAACTTATGATAGTGCCAATGCAATATTGAGAAGAATTACAACAAAGAACTACAAAACGAATTGGGAATGGCGTCAGTTATCACCTTTGTAAGAGGGAAAAGGATCCAATGGTTAGGACACGCGTTGTGGAAGAATAAGACCTTGAAAGATTGGGAGTATAGGAGTGGAGGGAAGTATTTCAGGACCGTGAAAAATGGATGGAGAGATATTATGATGGCAGCCAAAAATCTTAAAAAGTACTAAGTGCCAGTGAAGAAGAAGATATCATATTAAATAATATTATGGTCCCGATATTGCTGTGTAGGAAATAACCTAACCAAAACACCGTGTGATTATAACTATACTGTTTACATTTTAAATCTATTAAAAAAACTTTTATCCTACATATGATACACAGATTAAATGATCACATGGCTAGTCATGACGCCTGTAAAATTTGAGAAAAGTCGTATAAAAAATGTGCACTGCAATAATATATATTTACTGTGTTGTTATGGAATTAGGCATTTTATTTTATAATAAAAGATAACATAATATAAATTTAAAGTCAATGGATATATTATAACGTTTAGATTTAAACTCTTTGTATATGAAAGTTTGGCAAACGACTTAATTTTGCATGAATGTCGTTCAAAACGAATTTGATAAATAATATATTAGATAAGCTTAATTTAATATTCTGATTAACCACTGTTATAATATATCTGTTATTATTTTATTTTATGTTTTAGGCTTCATATGTATTACTTATATACATATATTATAATATGATCTATATCGTAGATAATACGTATAACGAATAACATTAACTTTGTTGGTAATGATTTGAGAAATCATAATTTTCAATTTTAACCATCATAAATTTAAATTAATATAATATTGTTGTATTGACATTCGATAAATAAAACCGTCTAACTTATTGTTTCAGTAGCAGCTACCCTTTTATAGCGAGTTTATTTGATGTGTTTACAATTGTTGTTATGTAATATTTGAACATTCGGAAATTTTACATTAAGATCAATCATCAGTTACATTCCATTTCAGACTCGAAACTAATTCAAATTCTATTATGTAAACAGAAACCACAAATTAATATCATACATAACATTTCATTATTAGTTATTTGAGAAATGTTTGATATTAGTAATAATTATCATCGAGACATCGATATAAAATTAACTCTATGAGTTTTCTTCTAAACTCAATTTTATTTTGACAAATTACAATTTGTTATGTAAAGTATTAGTGTATTACAATAAGAAAATGTGAGTGGATTCTGGGTAGTGGTGTAGTGGTGGGTGGATGAAGTTTGTATCCAGTGATACTAATTCGGTATACAATTAAATGTATATATTATATATTACAAACAAAAGTTTCTCGTGTGTACAATATTAGGTATGTACCTATAAAAAAATGTAAAACATTTTACTTATTTTCTACCATTAATTCCAGTAGGTAGGTACTTAGTGATATGAAATGTTTTTTTTAATTAACGAAACACCGAAGCTATGAATGCAAAACAATGAAAAATCTATTATTAAAGGCGTTGAATACTCGTGCAAGTGCATGGCAAATATTATATATAATATACAGAGTGATTTATCAAACATACTATCTTGCTTTTTTTTTTTTAATATTACAGTTATTCAAAATCTAATTTTTTAAATATTTTTTTTTTTTTAAATAAACTTAATATTTTTATACTTCTTATTATTTAAGGAGTATTCTAGGGAAATACAAACTTCTGTTTTTCAAACGAAAACTCATCTTCTCTACTGTAAAATATTTAATGGATTCGTTTTTGAAAATATGATGTGTGACCTATGAGAATCAAAATTCGTAGGAGCAGTTTTTGAGATTATTTGTACTAATGGTAATGGGTATTATGATTTGAAAATGTGAGCAATTAATATTAATAACTTGTAAAAATAGTCTGTTTATAAAATATACTAGATCTGATATTATACATGTATATTTAATTTTTTCATATTATATACTATATAGGATTATTATCCACAGAACCATCATTTTAATAGCTGAGAAACTACTCATTTAGATTTTGAATTTAGGATATAACAATTTAGAAAATGTGTACTCGCCTAAAAGATACTCATCAAGTGGTACAAAAAAATTCAAGAATTATAATAAATTCATTGGGTATAAAAGAAAAAAATAGGGGTGAGCATGCTTATGGTGAATCACCCTATAAATATTATAATATATAGTGTAGTCTTACTAAATGTTATAGATTAAAAAGTAATGTAAATAGCGATAAGTAATAATAGAATAGTGTTACAAATAATTCGTTCACCCTAAAAAATATTTATAGAACAACAAAACAACAACAACACACATACAAACACTAGCGCTCATACACATTCGTAATGTCTTATACCTACGCTAATGTTTTACCGTGACTGTGATCCGCCCGAACCAAAGTGATTGCGACACGATGACGGAGCGTTTTTACGTATAAGTAACGTAGGGGTGCGTTTGAAGGGATGGTTGGAGAGGTCATGAAGGGTGGGAATGAGATGACGTTGTGCGCTGTTTACTTATTGGAGGTGCGTTTCGCGTGCACCGTATTCGCGCACGACACACCTAAAAACCGATGTGATGCAATTCGTCAATGTCGAACCGGCGAGAGTTACGTGTGTGTATACACATACGACGATAATAATATAATTACAGAGAAGTGGTCGAGAACAGAAAAACATCGTTTCTCCAAAGCATTGGAGCTACAAGAACAGTGTCGATAAGTATCATCTTTGTCTACAAATGCCTACCCCTAACCATCTGACAACACGATTTGACGAGGATAGATTAACATTGAAATAAAGTTTTTTTATTAAATAATTTAATAAAAAAATAATAATGATTTAGTATGGTTAAAATATTTCAAGTGACATTTTAGTTTTTAAATGATATGTATACATCATCAAATTTTTCATATATTATATAATACGTACAATGTCTTGTAGTTCAGCTATGTTTATAGGTACACATAGACCATGATTGGTAGTTTAGTACCTATGTATATTGTATATTGTATCATATTACAGATATATTATTATTGACACACAGCAACATATGATCTTAAAATATTATCGATTTTCACTTAAATATTAGTTTAGATATTTTGGTTTTAGAACAATGTTTAAAAGAGGGAAATTACTTTGAAAAAGTCAATGAAAATACTTATTTCCGTTCAATAAAATGCAAGTTGTAATGTACATTTGCTCAATAAAATGTCTCAATGTCTATAGATGTTTTGTATTTATCCGGAGGTTTTTATGATTTTTGTTTAATTTATCTAAATCAGCCATTTTGTATTGTTATTATACTACAATTTTATATTATAAAACTACCTGCAGGGACAAATTAGTTATACCACCGCGGCACCATGAACAATTACATTTTTTTTATATCATCAAGCATTTGATGTGACATGTGGACAATTTAAATAGAAATGTATAACAATATGATCTACCTACATATACTGATATACTATACCTTTCGGTGCAGCTTTTATTCAGACGAAGTAATGCGATTTTATTTTTAATACGTTTTACAAACAAGTGTTATATTTAACATTATTCATAATATATTATGCATAAGGTCGTTTAAATTATGCGTTCAAACATTTTGTAAGGGATTACATTAGCTTTTAATGTTATCCTTACCATTTTTTTAACGGACGATTTGAATGACCATGTAGACATATACCAGACGTTGGTTATGGTTAATGAGTATGTATATTATATATTATTATTTGTGTATATTATAATATAATATACTCATTAATATTGTTTTTGTTATGTTTACTTGCCATGTACCTAATACTAAAATGATTTATGTGTATACTGTATAGGTACCAACTTATATTATCACATAGATACAACTAGTGATGCACCTATTTTAATTATAATGCGATTCAAATTAATTATTCTTTTCATTTGATTCTTTAGATGGTTTTTTTTTCAATTTATAAAGATTTTTTTACTGTTGTTGTTGTTGTTGTTGTTGTCATTTATTCATGAAAAATATATTTCTAAAGAAGATATTAACCAATATTTTTGTTTTTCGTATGTTTTTTAATATATTATATTTTGTTGGAAACATCGGGAAGCGTCTTCAACCTATCATTTAAAAAAATATATTAAGTACGAACTGAATTTTACTTCGGCAAACTATCACCTTTTGAAGGGACTGAGTACTAGTCAATAATTTCTACTTCTTGTTACTTGCATTAATATAAATCTATAAATTAAATGCTTCAATATTTCATGTGTAATTTAATAGTAATATATCAATAGTTTTAAGCTTTGTTTACATACTTAACCAAAGTTATTTGACAATAATGTATTTATTTGCTTAATAATACGATGTAGATATAATAGTAATATTTATTGTACAATGATGAAGTCAGCGTTAAATCCCAAATTTTGATSTGTCCCAAATAAAAAATATTTTAAGGAATATTATTAGGTAATATTTTGTTTAATTTGAATAAAATAATTAATTCTCGATGTTTTTTTCAATTACTATATTGATAACAAATTATTTTAAATATAATTATTTTAGGAAAAATAAAATTATGTGTATAAATTTGGTATAGCTTTTAATTTATCCTTAAATTGT